CCAAGTCTACCACACCATTCATCTCAATGACCCATCAGCACCAGATGATTAAAATTTTCCACATTCGCTGATATTCCTCCACTTCTTACTAAAAACACTCTGTCAAGTGTCTTCCCACAGTGCCTTTTAAGAGAACTAATACTATCAGTTTCATCTGACTTAGATATTTATTTCATATTTGCCAGACGATTCTGGCCAACATTTTTGAAAGCACATTTAACTATACCATATGCCTCCTTAAATAATCTCTATCAAACAAACTGTAGGATAAGGCTCCGGTTCATTCTGTTCTGTTTTTCTTTCTTCACAATGTGTTTATGTATGTTTACCCAATTTGCTCTGTTCTTCTTGCCAAATTACAGGTTTGAGATCTCAACTCTTGCAGAGCAGCTGTGTTATTGCTGCTGTCTCACTAAACAAGGGTCAGAGAATAAACCCATCCTGAAAATACGGCTAACACCTGCACTGTACACCACAAGGCGCCTGCCCTGGAATGGGGAGGGTTCAAAGGCCTACACAGAGTCCTTTCCATTCAAACTTAAGACAGTTTGGTGCAAATGAACCATTAGCGGAAAAAAGCTTCCAAACTATCTACTGTGTTTTCTTGGTAAGACAATTTGTTTAATCGTGTGACATTTTAAAATTAAACTGTGTCCAATGAAAGAAATCGAAAAGAACAACCTCACTACTACCACCTTTACATACCTTCTGTTTAAATATGAAGAATTTGTTCAACTTAGTCTAAAAATCTCTATCAGATAAAGAAATTTAATGAAAGAGTTTTCTCAATGAAAGTACTTCGAAAACCACTTCAACAAAGCTAACTGGTGATATACCTGCATAACATTTGCCCAGGTGGTTTTAACTTTTGTTTACTCCATATCAATTTCCGAATGCAAATCTATGTCCTAATTACTCTGCTACATCCTTCGTTCTCATCTCCAAGTCAACAATTTCATGTTAACCCTCTTTCAACCCAAAATTCATGAGCCCTGGGTTTTCAAGAAATAATCCTCAAACAAATGTAATTCAGGAAATATAACATAAAGATGAGAAAGGAAGTGTTAGAGTAGGCTAATGAGATGAGGCACATGCCCATGGATCCAGCTCTAAGACTACACATCTGGCTTTGAGACTGTCTGTCTAAGGCTACTTCACCAGCCTGTTGTTAATTATTTAAGTGAGGGAACAGGGGGAACCATCGTCACATCTGTCACTCTCACACAGGAAAAACCTTCATTCGTTGCTGGGCCAGATGTGTTCATTTGAAATATAGACTAACTAGCTACTTAATGGGTTTGAAACCTTAGCCAAAAGATAATTAAGCAAGCATATTAAGCATCCGTCACCTTACAATGCTGAAGTGTTTCGGCTGTGTTGATTTTAATCCAATCTCAGAAGAGAGCTACAAAAGCATCTGAAGAAAAGTCAAGGCAAAGGAAAGCTCCAAATTACTTGCAACATACTTAGTAGAAAAAATAATGATGTCCCTAAATACCTCATACACTAACAAAACCTTCTCAAGTTTTGCCTCAGTGGCATAATGTACTTGATTTCAAAAAATAAAAAGATCAAAAGTAATTACTTTAGACTGAGCTCCTTCCCCAAACAATCTCAGTTTGCTTGTAGGTGAAATATCAGTGTCACAAGCCAAACGGAGGATGTCATGTCTGATATTTATTACGCTCTATATGATCTTTAAAAATCACATCTCCTGAATGTAGCCTATCTACAAGTCACTGAAGACTATCAGCAGTCTGCATCTCTTCAAAAGGAGACCATGCCCAAAGGCAAATTCTAAAGAAAGCACGTTCAGTGTCTGGGACAGACCAGGCATAGTGCATGTTATAATTATTTTGGAGAAGAAAGTAAGGTGTCTTCCGTAAGTAGACACTACTGTACTATTAAAAATCCAAGATAACCGAAACACAACACAAGAAAGAAACCCCAAACCTAGTTTTCCTCTTAGAATTAAAAGATAAAATATTATTCCTCAGTTATTCTTGGCAAATGACAAATTGAAAAACATTCAGAGGGCACAATGGCTAATATCTGGGGGTGCTGCATCCATTCTCCTAGCAGGAGGGAGAAGGGATTCCCACACAGAAAGCACAGATTAGAAAATGTACTGATGGTCATTTGGTTCAGGCGAGTCAAGGGCCCTGCACTGTCCAGAGGGATGAGAGTTTTGCCAGGGCGTATCCATGGCATACAGAGTGTGCTCAATTCGTATTGAATCATCTGTCTGCTATCAGCTTAATTGTCAGGCCAGGCAGCCAAGAGGAAACCTGACATATATGGTAAACTCGGTGTCTGAACACAAAGAGCAGCGCAGAAATCACTGCACTTGAACTGTACACAGACGTTCTAAGCAGTTTGTCAGCTTCTTTCCCTTGGTTTCTGGAAGGGGTAGATCATCCACAAAAAAAGAACAGAAGAAACACCTGTCACTACAGCCTACCCCTTTGCAAAAGAGGCACTCTGGACAAGGACAGTCGGCATCCTCTCCCGAGGCAGCTCTGGGCTTGGCAAGAGGCAAATAAATACAACAGACTATTCTGAGCTCCTTGTTACTCAATAAAATATAAACAGGGTTTTTTTCTTGTGCTGTGTTTCTATTATCTGTAGCTGTCGTTGCTTCCTAGAGCAGCAGTATTGAGTTGGCACAGACCTGGTTTCATACTTTCAAGGACAGAAGGCCCTTGGCTCCTAAACTGACCAACTCTGGGATCCTGTACCCGACAGGAGTAACTCATCATTTCTCACCAGAACTGTTGCCTTTGTGCATGATCTGCTGGTTTGTGGATTCGGCTTGGCCAAGAATCTTGCCAAGGCTTTAATCTAGGCCACCTGTTCTACATAAATTCTTGAGAATGAATTCCCAAGCATTGTTTTTTTTGGACTCGTATGATAAAAAAATACACAAAACAAAAACAGAAGAACTTAATTTTTAAAGATGTGTTGCTTTAAAGGAAGCTTGATAATAAGGGTCGGGTGAAGAGGAGGCCACCTGGACTTTGAAACCTGTGACTCTTTGCTCCTGGAGTCGGGGGAGGGAGGAAGAAACAGGAAGTGTTCTCACTTTGTCCTTTACCAAGATCCTCATATTGATCTCTCTCCCTCAGCCCCCATGATCTTGCAACAATGTGCCTTATTGGTTGTGAGTTTACAGGCAAAGCAAGCTCCCAAATCAATGGATACAAATATTCAAAAAAAATCCAAGATATTTTCTGCTTTCTTAAAAGGCATTCCTTCCAAAATAGGAATCTGATCATTTTCCTCTTACCTGATATAGGCCCTGCCCCCAGCAGACAAATGTGCTCCTTTAACTGTTTATATAACTAGTAAACCAAAGTATTGGAGAAAAATGTATTCATCCTTCAGGTAACAGACATTTAGCGAATCTACTGTAGGTTAGGCATGTGTAAGGATGCTGAGATTCAGCGAGAAACAAGGCAAACAAAATGCACCCTAGCAAGAAGGAGACACAATAAGACTGTATAATTACATGTGGTGACCAAGAAGAGCTTACTAAGAAGACCTCTGAATAAGACGAAGAAGGTGAGAGAGTGAACCATGAGGGGAAGAGCATTTCAAGCTGAGGGAACAGCAAGTGTAAAAGTACTGGTGTGGGAGTAAGCTGACGTGGTTAAGTAATAGCAAAGAGGCCAGTGTGACCGTAATGGAAAGGGCAAAAGGAAACTGAAGAATG